GGAACATTGTCCATCTATACTGTGAAGTGCTGTCCAATCAACTTTGCTGCATTTGGCTGAATCTGGGCTGACAGTATATCTGTAAACACTGCAGAATTCATCTGGCTGCTTCTGTCACATCACCAATAAACACCAATGACCCAGTGCCACTGGAAGCCATGTATGGCCCATGCCATCACACTGCCTCCACCATGTTTTTTACAGATGACGTTGTGTGGTTTGGATCATGAGCTGTTCCAAGCCTTCTCCACACTTTTTTTTCTTCCCGTCATTCTGGTACAGATTAATCATAGTTTCATCCATCCAAAGAATGCTTTTCCAGAACTGGTCTGGCTTTTTTAGATGTTTTTTGGCAAAGTCTAATCTGACTTTTCTATTCTTTAGGCTTATGAATGGTTTGCACCTTGTGGTGAACCCTCTGTATTTGGTCTCGTGAAGTCTTCTCTTGATTGTAGACTTTGACAATGATACGCCCACCTCCTGGAGCGTGTCCTTCACTTGTCTGGATGTTATGAATGTGTTTTTCTTTACCATAGAGAGGATCCTGCGATCATCCACCACTGTTGTCTTCTGTGGACGTCCATGCCTTTTTATGTTGCTGAGCTCACCAGTGCGTTCTTTCCTCAGAATATACCAAACTGTTGATTTGGCCACTCCTAATTTTGCTATCTCTCTGATGAATTTGTTTAGTTTTTGAAGCCTTATGATGGCCTTTTTCACTTGCATGGACAGCTCCTTTGAATGCATGATGTAGGTTCACAGCAATAGATTCCAAATGCAAATACCACACTTAGAATCAACTCCAGACCTTTTACCTGCTTAATTGATGAAGAAATAACGAAGGAGTAGCACTTGGCCATGAAACAGCTTTTGATTCAATTGTCCATTTACTTTTGGTCCCTTGAAAAAAGGAGGGATGGCTATTCTTTAGAGCTGTAATTCCTAAACCCTTCCTCCAATTTGGATGTACATACCCTCAAATTAAACCTGAGAGTGTGCACTTTCAGCCCATATCCATTATATAACTATAGCGTGGATGGTGGATTTCCTTCATCTTCTTGACCAGATTTGAAGCATTCATGACAACATTGATATCCCAGTAAAGAGGGGCTTATTTTATGTCATTTCCTTCACATGTGAATTGGATTTCCAATTTATTCCACGTATTTTACATAAACTTTTTGGTTGCATGTAGCACTGCACTTTTTATGTTTTATTACTCTGAATTGTCTGCTATACAATGCAGGGACCAGTTCACAATGTGTGACGAGGCCATAGATTCGTAGCACACATACAGATCGGGTGCCTCAAATATCTTCTGTCTGCTCCCCTTGCTGCTGTCTCCTGTCGGGATGCCCATTGACATCAATGGAACATCTCAAATTCACAGACTATAGGGAACTGTAGAAGTAGATGAGGGAGACTGAAGAGAGGAATGTTAAGGCAATGCTTGTAGATGGAGAGGTGATGGTGGGTCTAATCTTCCACATTACCTGCCATTGCCTTTCATTGCATAGTATTTACTTGTATGATGTTGTCTTTCTCATTTATCTCCAAAAGGAGTTCTCTATCTCTCTATTGTCAAACAGCCACCCATTGGAAGTCTGTACATAAAATGACACATGGAGCGTTAAAATCTGAATCTATTCGGTTCCCGTGAGGCAAAATGGACATTTCTGATTTGAGACGCTTTGATAAATAAGGGCTGGCAATATAATAAGCCCTATGCTAGTACCGTGAAGGACTTGTCTTGATGCATATATGTTTGTCATAGAGTACGTTCTAGCATCTGTTCCATCTTCTGTCCAGCCATCTGAAGCTTTTCCTACAACAGTCTGCTTATTTTTTTTATTTCAAATTGTTTTTTGTGCAGTGTTATGCATGCAAACCATGTTTTACTGAATTCATTTTCATGTTTCATATGTCTAGCCAGAAAATGTTTTATTGAAAAGTCTATTTAAGCCGATGTTGCCTTACAAGCTACAGTTGATTGCTCGATTCTTTTTGTCTACGATCCTCCATGGCCACCTGTGGGTAACAACTAGGTAGTGCAGCCTGGAATACGCTTCTTTTAAAGGATAAGTTCACCTTTTGTAACAGGTTACTAAAACCAGAAAACTGTGTTAAGTGCCTCAGCTGAAAAATGGCAAAGAAATCTGTATATGTCCACAGCTGCAGTAAAAAAATCACATAATAGTGTGTCAAATACTATATCAAAATTAAATGTTGAGCTGTGTTTTTTTAAATGAATTTTAATATATGTCATACTTTCAACTCCAATGTCAATAAACCAAAATAAAATTATACCATGACTATAAATATTCTTCAAATCCAATGTTACAACAATGTGTTAGTGGGTGACACCACTATTTTAAAAGTGCAAAAAAAACGTAAATACATATATGATCATTAAATTTATAATCAAACTTCAATCTGTGATAAAAGTCCACCACCTGAACAAATGTCTAAAAAATAAATAAAAATTGTGTGGGAGTGTCCCACCACCTTTTGTAAGTGTTGCCGGTTTCCTCCACTTATGATAAACAATAGTAACCGCTGGGAATTGCACCACCTCCCATATACAGCCTCCTGCCAAATGGATAGACTGCAGATTATAGATGGTCTAGAACAGCATGTTTAACAGTGATCATCCATCCAGAGCTCTGGAACCCTAGGGAAGATTACAGCAGCAGGATATTCAAAAACACTTAGGAACTGCAGGAACTTGCTGTCTCGCCTTCACTCTGCCGTTTTTATATTATGCCCATGTAAAAAATGAGCACGAATCCCACAGTGCAACGCACATGTTTCTTTGTATAAATATAATGTGGATCTACCACGTTTACATAGAGAGATATCACATGTATTACAGACCTGCGGGCGCGGTGACACCAGCACAAGGTCCGCTCACAACGCATTTCATCCAAAGGGCCATTTTCAGGATGTCCATGTTACTGTTGCAGCAGCTCTCGCACCCACCTGTAAAAAGATGTGCATTTATTATTTCCTTTGTTAAAATAAAAAAAAGGTGAATTTATTCTGTAAAATGTAGTTTGTATATGATAGTGTCATTGTTTTGGCCTATACTGCAGGAAACTGCTGGGTCAGCTCCTGTATTTCACTGCTGACCAGCTCCAAGTTCAAGCTTTTATGTTGAAGGTGCCTGGCTATAAGGAGCAAGAGACACTGGCGCTGGAATGCTGATGTAGGGAGCAATGGACACGGTGTGTAGTGTTTTTTGGTTTTTTTTGATGGATAGAGATGGCTTGAAAATTTTCCAAAAAAGTTTTTGTCATAATATACATCAGACTGACTGATGCATAAGATGTTTCAGAAGGTTTTTAGATTGTATTAAAATATTCACTAGACACAGGTGGTTTTCATTATTACAGGATTCCACTTAATATGAAACCAGACTCTCACAAATGAACCTACTTATAGTTGCGTTATAAACTAATTGTACCATGGGAGCGGGACATAATCAAAAATACTATCATTTCTCTCTACCTGGAGAGAAAATAAAGTGCATATTTTACTTTCCATTCTGGCCTCTTTTTATGCAGGTTGTGCCAAAAAAGATAAACTAGCTTGGTAGGGTACATCTGCCTGTCTATGGCTACTATAAAGTAAAACTTCTAGTTAAAATTAAAAAAAAAAAAAGAGTAATGCAGCATCAAAAGGAAATGAATGTGGTTGTGTTTTGATTCTGTCAATTTCACAATATGCCTTACAGTGGGTTAGAGTGCATTTTGTGGGATTCCAGCTCTGCCAGGAGGCATGGTTGCCCATGCCTCCAAGAAGCGTTTGAAACCCAGGGCTAAGGTAAGTATTTTTTGTCAGCTGGCAGTAAAGTAGGCCTTCTGTTTTTCTGTGGATGGCCCCCTTTAAATCTGCCTCTCCTACCCCATCTCCCTGGTTGACAGCAATCTACTGAAATACTTGCCTCCAGCCTTATTCATAAGATCATCTCTGTGCAGCCCTGCCCACCATTGCACAGCCTTTGCTGCTGGCTGAAAGAAAAAAAAAAACATATTCCTCCATCCACACAAATTAAATAGATGGAGGCATCCCCAACGTTGGGACATTCCATTCTGATCGCGGTACCTGCCACTGTCAGAATACACTGATCATCAAGTTCATCTAGTTCAACCCAAAAAAAGAAGAAAAACTAACACTGACCCACTGAACAAATTTCATGCTGAACCAGACAGATTTCGATCTTGTATGGACAGCTCTTACCAGGCATGTATGACGCTCACTACATTCATTCCTCTTGCTTGCTCTGACTTGTGCTTCCAGAGGAGCACAGACCCAGCCATGAATAGGCCAAGCAGCTACACATGGCCAGGACTTTTTTCTTCCAAGGCAGTGCAATGCCAGGCAGGGCTTTCCAGTCAAGATCTCAGGAGCAGGTTTGAAGGTAAGTGTTTAGGTAGGTATCTGCCTCTGTGTTTGGGGAGGAGCATTTTAAAAGATCACATTACCAGAGGTGGTGTTGTCCTTTCAAATAGACCTGTCACACCTGGACAGTTCAAGCAGAGTCTTTGATGGGAAATGGAAGCTCCCCTTTGTAAACCTCACTTGTCAGAGCAATCACTATGTATGGGCAGCTGAATTTATGTCAAGCTTGGCCCCACCTCCTCGAGCCTCCTGATTCCATCTATTGGCTGGTTACAGTTGGATGGGGTGGGTTCACACTCGGAAAAGTCGATGTTGCATATAACTTCAGCTACTTTTATCTCTAGGACTTCCAATAGCTTTGACATGTAAGTGAAGGTTCTCTCTGCTTCTATTTTTTATCATATGCTCAGTTTGAATTGTCCAGGTCTGGCACAGGTTCATTTTAATCTATGTGCCTGCCAGTTATTTCTATGCCTGGTTTACTCATAATACCAGCTCTCCATTGCCTGATTCATGCATGCTTCAAGAAGGTATTGGAATTGATAGATGTTGAAGAAATGATTATAAACCTTCAGTGCCTATTGTGTTCACATTCCTAGCTGGCTTCTTACCCAAGACTACGAGAAGAGAGTGAAAGGATTGTTACAACGTACATCCGAGAGAGAGAAGGGAAGACAAAAGATCAAGTAAGATATCTGGGCAGAAAAGCCAGTGTTAATTACAGCTGATATACATAATCCGTGTTTAGAGCTGGGACTGCTCAGGGTCACATGTCATTCCAAATGCAGGACACGGGGTCCCCAGGCATCATCTAGATCAGCCGTTCTCAACCAGGGTGTCCAGGCACCCTGGGGTGCCTTGAGGTTTCTTTGGGGGTGCCTTGGACAAATGTCTAAAAACATTCCCAAAACTTGTATACAAACCAGCAGGTGGAACAAGCCTGCCTTTTAGTTACACAAAGTCACAGGTTTTCATTGTGCACCATTATGACCTTCTAGTTGCCGGTGTCCTGACAGCCAATGACATCATCCATTGATGAGGAGGATGTCAGCTGCCTGCACAGCATCCTTGTTTGAAACTCCCCTGCCCCTCTCCATCAATGCTGGGGTCACATTAGCTCAGTGATGAAGAAAAACTGAAAGAGAAGAGAAACATGGGAATACTAGTCAGTACCAGTGTGCAAAGGTGTATTTGCTTTGGAAGAATAAATCACCTCTGACGTTGGGTGTCCTACATGTGTGGATGTTGCTACATTTTATAAAGCTATTAGAATAGTTTTTCATATTTTAGAATAGGGCGCCCTTTTAACATTATGGACAGTCTTCAGGCACCCCATTTTAGAATGGGGTGCCTCAAGACTGTCCATAATTTCAAAGGGTGCCTTGACTGAAAAAAGGTTGAGAAACACTGATCTAGACTGTAGAGCCAGCTAGGGACCACAGAGTTTTGGAAGGCACCTTAATGCGACTTGCAGCTTCTAGGTTGCATTTAGTGCTTAGTGCAGACTCTTGTGTTCCTTAGAAAGCTTTGCTAGGTCCTGGGAGGATGCATTTGACCACCATATCCAGTAGCTCCAAGCACAGTGAGTGAACTATAGGAATTGCATAAAGCTGAACACAGGCGAAACTGCTTAATACAAAGATGAAATGCACCTATATGGGTTGTTTTACTTGCCAAAGACTTTGTATTTTGCTCCATCCAGTTCAGAGATTTACACTGGTCTACCACACAGTCCTTGCTGGCAGATCAGGAGACCATGTCTTTTTCTGCTGCAGTTCAGCAACGCTTACAGGCCTTGATCCTTTTAGTATGTGACTTGACAATAAAAAAAAGAAAAGCAGCAGTCTAATGAGCATATCTGTCACTCTGCTCTCTCCTACTATCAGAACATTCCTTGTTAGCACTTGAGTACTGCAGTACACATGTACTTTGTGTTTTTATTTTATATCTACCTGGAATTCAGATTTAAAAATATAGGCCCTCCAAGATATGTCCTTGTTAAAAAAAAAAAGAGGGTAGCTTCTTTCCTCTCTTGCTGCCTGAACTGCTAAGTGGCTGCTCTGTTGAAGAAGACTATGTTTAGAAACCCCCACAGCATATAGTGGTTTCTCCCACCATCCTCCGTGTCCATACAGGATACTGCTACTTGAGGTTACCTGGCCTTTGTGCCTCATGTTCTCGTTCTTTGTCCTTAGAATAAATACTTGTGAGGACATGTGACCTGAGTAGTGACCAGTGATCTGGACAGCATTTAACGTGGTATTAACGGTTGTTTTTGTTTGTTTTTTTCATTAAAAAAACCTGCCATAGTTGCTTGCTCTGTGCAGTGGTTTTGCAAAGAGCAGTTCCGATCCTCCTCTTCTTGAGTCCCCTCGCTGGAGCTCCTTGCTCCTCCCCCTTGACCAGTGCCCCCAATAGCAAGCCCCTTGCTTTGGGGGCACTGGTGCCTGCTCACTCCCGAGCCCGGCTATGTGTCTATAAGACAGAGCGGTGTCTCAGCTCTGCCCCTCACCTCATTGGCTCACTGGCTGTGATTGACAGCAGGGGGAGCCAGTGGCTCCCGCTGCAGTCTCAGCCAGTGAGGAGAGGGAGTCCTTGGACAGCCAAGGCTTTTGTGCACATCGCTGGATCGAGGGGGGAGCAGCACACAGGTTTACCTTCATGCATGGAATGCACAAAGGTATTATAATTATACAGGATTTATATAGCAAAAACAGTTTGCTCAGTGCTTTACAATATAATGGGAGACAATACAGTTCAATACAAGAGGGTTAGGAGGACCTGATCCTTTAAAAAAAAAAAAAAAAAAAAAAAAAGCCTTTATAGCCACTTTAAACACTGCCGGCTACCTGCACAATAGATCCATGTTCTTTCTCACATCTGTCTTTTCTGTTCACAGATACTGCTACTAATAGACATTGAACTATCTTACATCAACACCAATCATGAGGATTTCATTGGATTTGCGAAGTAAGTCTTCCTTTACCTGCTCTCCTGTCCTCCCGAGGTTATAGTCCTCTCCTGGCAATACGGTGACTGCATGGAGTTGGCTTCTTACCCTGCGTCATAGCGGTTTTGTAATAATTAGAGAAACTAAAATACCGTGAAAGTATCTTTTCTAGTGCATTATCATCTGATTATGTAGCAAAGCTTGCCAAATACTTCAAAGAATGTGCTTTAGTAACTTTTTAAGCAGTGAGCAATTAATTGCTTTGGGATCATTCACACTAGGGCGGCTTGTGCTTAGAGCTTCCTTGGAACTTTCCTGGACATGTGTTCACTTCTTATGTTTGGCTATAGAAACGCTGTTACAATTTAGGGTGTGAATAAGGCTCAGGGGGGCAGTGCTGCAATCTCAGTGGGCAGGCAGTGCCACCTGTCAAACCTGTCCATTGAGTTCAATGGGAGAGCACCGAAGCCGAAAGGCAAACACTTGGGTCATGGTAGCAGTGCTTTTTTTTTTTTTTTTTTTTTTTTTTTTTTTTTATTTATTTTTCCGACAACATTTACCTTGGGTTTGAACGGGGAAATATAGACATTCAAGAGGGAGCAGGATCTTCTCCTGAATATCTGTCAAACGCTGCAAATCATTTTTAGAGGGCAGTAAGCATTGTTGTCTGTCTGAAAGAAGCCCAAGTGAATTAAAACATGCTGGGATAAAAATAGATCTATATCAAGACAAAAGGTTAAATCGGTAGTAAACTGCAGCCATTTAAAGGAAAAAAAAGAAAAATCCTATTGAAGGCAATGGCATAATGTGCTAGTGTGCTTCTGATATTCGCACACTATGAAATACTGACCTTGAGCGAAAGCCCTCCGGCGGTGCGCGGTCACTTCCATCTTCCCCTGGTCTTCATTCTGGGTTCGCTGGCTCAGGTCATTTGAATGGCTGACCCGTGATGATGACTTATGCGCACAGGAGTCATGGTTTACGATACAGAGCTCTGAGGGGACGGCACAGGTATGCCATCCCTTCAGGCGCCAGTGATGTCATTGGTTGAATTCAGCGTGAATATCTCCTAAACACCGCAAGTTTAGGAGATAGTCACTGTACACGTTCTAAAGGGGACTTTACTACCGCTTTAAGAAAAAAAGTGTGTGGAGGGTTTTAGGCATGGGTGTGTTTTTTTTTTTTTTTTTTTTTTTTTTTTTTGTTTGGTTTGGTTTTGTTTTGTTTTTTTCTGTCCTTTCTGTAACTGTTTCTAACACTTGGGAGATTGACTGACCGTCTTTTTTTTTTTTTTTTTTTTTTGTTTTTGTATTTGTAGGCCAAATAAGCTGCATTCTTACAGACTTATGCTGCCTTTTTAAAAATGTTTTTAAATGTGAATAGTTTGTATTTTTCTCCTGTCAATTGACGTCTGCTGTAAGAATTTGGCTGTAAAGTGGATCTAATGTCATACAGAAACTAACCCCATAGGATAGTTTTGTCTTTAGTAGCTTCATAGCTTCTTTTTCCTGTTAGAGTGATTGTAGCGAGCATATATTCCGCCATGTTTCCATCCTTCATTTTGTGACCTCCAGGCTTGCTTTGGCTCACTCGGTCTTGTCATAAGTTGCCTAGTGTTCTCCGCAGTTTACTGTTGTCTGTGTGTCTCTCTATCGGTAACTTCTCTCCTGTGTTTTTCTCCGCACTGTCACTTATGACCCGCACTCTTTCTCTCTGCATCCTCCACGATCATCGCTCGCTCCCCCATTCTTTCACATGCCAGCTGTTATACCGAGCAGCACATCCCAGGGTGGGTATTCTGCATGTCTCCTGCTTGTGTGCCTATGTAAAGTCTATCTGACTGCTTATTTCAACCCTGGATTTCTTAGCTAGTTTAGTTGCAGAATTATAAATCTTAAATAAAACAAAAATCACAGCTTTATCCATTGTATACCCTTGTTTGCAGATGTTAAAGCTAATCAAGTGTTTCAAACTGCTTGTTACTAATAACTGATTTTGGTTTATTACAAAAAGCAATGCAAAGTATGGTAACCTGTAGCATCCAGTATTTCAATTTTAAGTCACTGCTACAGGATTTGCATGCATCAACCAAATCTCCTGATTTGCATATTTGTTATTGGTCAATGCCTAACAGTATTAAATCCAGTGGAGCTGCATAAAGGTATATTTCGGCCCAGTACTTCAAATGTTGGTTTCATTTTCGGGCTTACCTAGATTAAAGCCCAATTTTAGCCACAGAAATGGATATCTTAGTAAATAAGCCCCTGCACTAGCCACCTCCATATTTGATCTCAGCTCTGCATTCCTGTTACAGCAGTTGTACATTGTCTAAATATGACTCTGCTGTCCAATGTGCAGAACTAGCACTTTTGGTAATCCTCTCCAGACCTGATCAGACTCACCCTTCCTCTTCCTTTGCCATACATGTGTGTGGCTATTGCTCAGCTCGGTGATGGGTGTGGCTATTGCTCGGCTCGGTGAAGGGTGTGGCTATTGCTCAGCTCGGGGAAGGGTGTGGCTACTGCTCGGCTCGGTGAAGGGTGTGGCTATGGCTCGGTGAAGGGGTGTGGCTATGGCTCGGTGAAGGGTGTGGCTATGGCTCGGTGAAGGGTGTGGCTATGGCTCGGTGAAGGGTGTGGCTATGGCTCGGTGAAGGGTGTGGCTATGGCTCGGTGAAGGGTGTGGCTATGGCTCGGTGAAGGGTGTGGCTATGGCTCGGTGAAGGGTGTGGCTATGGCTCGGTGAAGGGTGTGGCTATGGCTCGGCGAAGGGTGTGGCTATGGCTCGGCGAAGGGTGTGGCTATGGCTCGGCGAAGGGTGTGGCTATTGGCTGGCCCGGAGGAGGGTGGGGCCCTTGCTCTGCTCGGTGGAGGGGGGGCCCAGTGGGGGGGGGGCCCAGTGGGGGGGGCTCTTGCTTGGCTTGGTGATGGGTGGGGCTAGGTGAAGAGGGATGGCTCTTGCTCGGCTTGGTGAAAGGGGGGGTATTACTTGGCTCCGGCAGTAAAAGAGTACAGGAGTGTTTTAAGGAGTTTCCTTTCCAAGCAAAAAATAGCCACAATCAATTGGCAAAGTAACAGAATTGACCAAAATTAGTCCTGCACATGCAGGTGTACAGGACTAAAAAGGGGCAAAAAGGTGTGCGACTTTAATTGGGAATGAAAGGTTAAGCTAGTAAGGGTTAGGTTCACTTCTTGTAAAACGTGAAAAACAGTGAACAAATGTGAATCCACACATAAGTTCCTAAGCTTGGACCCAATAAGTATATAAGTGATGAATAAATGCATATAATCAACCCAATCCCTACCACGGGATAAATAACATACACCAATAGTGTACACCAGGGCTTAAAATTTCGAGTCTAGACCTACTAGCCAGGCACAAACCTTACTCTCCACCAGTTGCCCCACCCAACCTTGCCCAGGTCTGCCTCCAACCCCACCCCTGGCCCACCCCCAACCCCACCCCTGGCCCACCCCCAACCCCACCTCTAGCTCTGCCCCCAACCACGCCCCCTTAAAGCTTATGAAATTACATTTTTTTTTAGAATAGTCTAATAGCTGGTTTACATAATCAAGTTGCAGAGTGGATAAGAGGCCAGACTGAGCCTAGAACCTAATTTATGAAACCTTATGTAAACGTGTAATGTGTATTCACAGCATCTCTGTTATATTAGAAAGTCACAACACATTTTCTGTTATTAAAGTATTAAAAAAGAACACAACGTGTTAATAACTGGATGTGAGGTCTATCCATAGACATAGGACAATTGTCACCGAATCCTGGCAGAAAAGATCATTAAATTAGTGCATGCCACTAGCTGATATGGAAAAGGCCTTTTTTTTTCCTGATTTAACAAAACTGGAGTGCCACATTAAGCCATTGTACTTCACAGTATAGTAACCGTGTCTTTTTGCTTTATTTTTTTTTTTTCTCTCTCTTTAGTGCCCAACAAAGAAGCACGCAGCTCAACAAGAAGAGGGCTGTCCCCAACCAGGTAATCTGCACACCAAGCAGGGCCACTTGCACAGCCAAGCTTATGCTTGTGCTACATTAAGAATGTGGCACAGGTGGTTCCACCTCAGTGCTTCAACTTCGTTCACTGCACCATTTCTCAGACCTTTTTTTTTTTTTTTTTTTCTTCATCATCGTCTGAATAAAGACATGTCCTTTTTTCTTTAAAAAACCCCAACCCTCCCTTTTCCTCCTTCTGTCATGCTGCAGAAGGACAGTATGGTTGCTATGGGAGAAACGAACACCTCCAACTTCAGACACTTTTTTTTTTTTTTTTTTTTTTTTTTTTTTTTTTTAATAAATAAGGCCTCAAATAGCAGCTAGGTCTGATGGCACTTTAATATCGTATGTCTTTTCCCTACCTAACAAGTTGTTTTTAGGAATTTGTGTCGAATTCCACATTTCTCAGGTCTGTGGACGTATTCTGGGAAGCCATTTTGTCTTGCACAAGAGCTCAAAGGATCGCAAGACTCTGGAACCCCCACAATGCACTTGCGTCTCTCGTGCTCTGTCCTGTCTCTGACTCTCTCACACGTGTTCTCTGACGAACTCACCAAACTGCTGTGTTCTTTGCACAAGCATGCCCGTGCATTTTTAATATAAAAAAATTAGCATGTACTGATATTAATTTTTTTATTACTGACTTTTTAAAATAATTGTTGGTATAATGGGAATTTAAATATTAACTGTGTATTAATTGCATGTAATTTTTTTCCCTTTCTTCTTTTTTGCTGCTATTCCATTCTATGTTTACTCTCCACACTCTTCATTCTCTATCTCCATAACTCTGTTATCATAAAATTCACCCTCGTTCCTGTACTGTATACTCCTGCGTCCTCCTAATCTCACGGCTCCTTATACCAAACGCAGGGAGAGATTTTGGTAAGTACTTGCTGCGTGTGAGTAACCATGCTTTGGCCACAGGTTAACCACTATTAGTAAAATTGGGTAGGGGGTAAAAAAAGTAATTATATGTATTTTTATGTATACTTGCACAGTTTAGTTGGCTTATTATATCCAAAATCAAGGGTTTTGTTTTGCAGTTTCACTGTAAGTATGATGAAACAAGTGTTCACTAACTCATAGTCAGAATATATGCTGGGGATGGCCTAGACCTGCAGGGTTCTTTCTCATTGGAATGTCTTTGGAAAGCTTGGACATGTAATGGCACTTTGAAGTGCCATTTATTTTGATTGGCAATCCAATGCCCTTGGATTGAGCAGCACAACAGACTTTAATTTAAGTCCAACAATGATAAAAAAAAAGAAGAAATATCAGCGCAGTAATGTATATTGTAACCAGTCCATAAGTCCCAATTAAGTCTGTAGTTGGTAACCGCGTTTGGTGGCAGCCATCCCAGAGTGAGCCAACTCTGTATGCATAATAAGGAAAGAGAGAGAGGCGCCTTCTAAGTGCAGTATAAAAAGATATTTAATAAGCCACAAATGGTAAAGCTCACAATGTGGAAGTGATAAAAAAAGCCCATCAGTATAGCCATGATCCTAGTCCTGCAGGAGTCCGTCCGGTGGGGTGCTAACCGCTGTAGATGGTGGAGGCAATGCCAAGCTGCTGTGGATGGTCAGGAGTCCCAGGCACCGTCCTCTGACTGGAACCGGAAGTACCTGTAATCCTACATGCCCCAAAAAGACATTATCAGAACAACAAGGAACATTCTGCCAAACCGCTCACCTCCTCCATCAACGATACCAATCATGTTCCCTCTGATGCTACCATACCAGTTTCTACCATTTCCCACCACCACAGTAATGTTCCTTTATCTCCTATTATCATTTGCAACAGTACTTTAATGTCTACAGCCATTGTTATGGAAAAATCCAATTCCATTCCCAACCCATCTATACACACTTTCATAGATGGAGAGAGATGCACAACCAGAACTCATTCTATAGGTCACTCCACACAAAATGGTTCCACTTAATAAAATTGTTTAGGGGTGACCCCCCCCCCCCCCAACTCAATAGCCAAAAGAAAGCACGTAGCAGAGGTAGAAGGCGTGGTAGAGGGTGGAGACGGGAGAAGGGGCAAGTTTCGAAGACTATAAAGATCTTCAACCTCTCTTCCCACGTCCTATCCAATCGCAAAACATCACTACTCCACAAAGGGCTTAATTTTGCACCTATCACCCAACCAAACCCCTTTACCCTATTTAAGTATCTCAACAAGTTTACTAGAGACCTAACAGTTACTAGATTCTACAATATCAAAGCAGCCAAACAGATGACCTGAGCAGCCAATCCATCTCGGTAGATACTATGCCTCTAGACCAGATTGATAAGGATGATTTAGAAATACTAAAGGAACTCTATGATAATGATCTTGATGATACCACTCTGTGGTTTACACAACACCCACCCACCTCTCCTCCTACAAGGCACACTCCATTTAGGCCCAAATCCAACTTTAATAGTGTTCACAACGGTTCGTATCCACAAACATTTTACCAAGTGGTATATTCTGACCTCATTGAAATGTGCTACAGCCCTTCCAGGTCCAAAAAAACTAACCTCACAAATTCAGAGTTAAAAGCATTAGAGGCGTTATCCCACAATAATAACATAATCATCAAGTCTGCGGACAAAGGAGGGTTTGGGTCATTATACAAAATAGGGAGGATTACATCTCCGAAGCTTTAAGATTGCTTTCCGATAAGAACACACATTCAAAATTATCTCACGATCCATTACCGTAATTTAGGGTAGAGGCGCAAGCTCTACTTTCAAAAGTAATATCAGATATTATCTCCAAAACAGAAGCTTCATTCTTCATCAGAGTTTTTTTTTTTCTTTTTCTTTCACATGCTTTATTTTTATCACCTACCCAAGATGCATAAAGATCCACTGAACCCGCCAGGACGACCCGTTGTTGCAGCCATGGATAGTATATCCAGTGGCTTTTCCATCTACATCTGGGACGGTATACATCTAAGAGAAATGTTGGCATCCTATACTTGGGAGACCACATACTCATGGCTCTCCCTAAATGTGAATTCCCTGTATACAGTTGCAAGAAATAGTATGTGAACCCCTTGGGATTACGTGGAGTTTTGCATGAATTGGGCATAAAATGTGCTCTGAACGTCATCTAGGTCACAACAATAGAAGAGCACAGTCTGCTGAACATAATACTACACAAACATTAGATGTTGCCATGGTTTAATTGCACATAACATGTAAACATTCACAGTGCAGGGAGGAAAAAGTATGTGAACCTTTGGACTTAATAACTGGTTGACCCTCCTTTGGCAGCAATAACCTCAACCAAACGTTTCCTGTAGTTGCAGATCAGACCTGCACAACGATCTGGAGTCATTTTGGACCACTCCTCTTCACAAAACTGTTTCAGTGTAGCAATATTCTTGGGATGTCTGGTGTGAATTGCTCTCTTAAGGTCATGCCACAGCATTTCAATCGGGTTAAGGTCAGGACTCTGACTGGGCCACTCCAGAAGGCGTATTCTGTGCTGTTGCAGCCATTGTTTTGTTGAATTACTTGTATGCTTTGGGTCATTGTCCTGTTGCATCACCCATCCTCTGCGGAGCTTCAGTTGGCGGACAGATGGTCGTACGTTTTCCTGCAAAATGTCTTGATAAACTCTGGAATTCATTTTCCCATCAATGACAACAATCCGTCCAGGCCCTGAGGCAGCAAAGCAGCCCCAAACCATGATGCTCCCTCCGCCATGTTTTACAGTGGGGATGAGGTTTTGATGTTGGTGTTCTGTGCCTTTTTTTCTCCACACATAGTGTTGTGTGTTCTTCCCAAACAACTCAATCTTGGTTTCATCTGTCCACAGTATATTTTGCCAGTAGTGCTGTGGAACATCCAGGTGCTCTTTTGCAAACTTCAAACGTGCTGCAATATTCTTTTTGGACAGCAATGGCTTCCTCCGTGGTGTCCTCCCATGTACTCCATTCTTGTTTAATGTTTTCCTTATTGTAGATGTGTCAACAAAAATGTTAGCATGTACCAGAGATTTCTGTAGGTCTTTAGCTGACACTCTGGGATTCTTCTTTACCTCATGCAGCATTCTGCGCTGTGCTCTTGCAGTCATTTTTACAGGACGACCACGCCTAGGGAGAGTAGCAACAGTGCTAAACTTTCTCCATTTGTAGACAGTCTGTCTTACCGTGGACACATGAACATCAAGGCTTTTGGAGATACTTTTGTAACCCTTTCCAGCTTCATGCAAGTCAACAATTCTTTATCATAGGTCTTCTGAGAGCTCTTTTCTGCGAGGCATGGTTCACATCAGACAGTGGTTCTTGAAACCAGTAAACCCAAAACAGGTGTGTGTTTTTTTAAGGGCAGGACAGTTGTCAGCAACACATCCAATATCATCACACTGATTGGAGTCAAGGTTGGCTCACTCCTGGCTCCAATTAGCTTTGGGAGAAGTCATTAAGCTAGGGCCTCATACTTTTTCCTCCCTGCACTGTGAATGTTTACATGTTATGTGCAATTAAACCATGGCAACATCTAATGTTTGTGTAGTATTATGTTCAGCAGACTGTGTTCTTCTATTGTGCCTTAGATAACGTTCAGAGCACATTTTATGCCCAATTCATGCAAAACTCCACGTAATCCCAAGGGGTTCACATAGTTTTTCTTGCAACTGTACTTCAGTACGTCATGAGGTGGGCTTACGGGCCGTCCAATACTATCTAATGGAATATCCCCTCAGCAATAATAAACATGCCAATTTCATATTGGAGGTCACTGCCTTTTGTCTCAAACATAATTATTTTTCATTTAATGGCACCTTCTATCTTCAAACCCATGGCACAGCTATGGGGGCACTAATATGGAAGAACAATCCCTTTGTACGAAATATCATTTTCTATGGCAGATATATTGATGAGATGGTCATCATTTGGGATGGTCCTGACCATACTGTTTATCTTTGTCCAACACTGCAATAACAAAATCCTGGGACTCTCCTTCACTCTTGTTTATGACCGCAATG